CTTTTCAAGTTCAGGGGGAGCAAGCACGATTCACATCAAACAGAGGCAGAGGTAGATGAGCATTTAGAGGAAGAGGACGTGGAAGAATGAGTACAATCCAGTGCACTTACTGCAAGAAGTTTGGACATAAAGAAAGTGACTGTTGGATCAAAGACAAACAAGTTCAATATGCAGAAGAAGAAGAAGAAGAAGATTACCTGTTTATGACATATGTAAGTCCCCAAGCTACCTCTAAAGAAATTTGGTATCTTGATAGTGCGTGTTCAAATCACTTGACAGGTGATAAGTCAAAGTTCAAGGAGCTAGATGAGACGCAAAAATCCCAAGTCAGATTGGGAGATGACAAGCAGGTTCAAATCGAAGGAAAAGGAACTGTTGCTGTCAACATTGATGAGAAAGAAAAGATGATTCAGAATGTTCACTATGCACCAGGTTTGGCTCATAATCTGATAAGCGTGGGGCAACTAGTTGATTCTGGTTATTCTGTCATGTTTGAGAATAATGCTTGCACTGTTAAGAAAAAACAAGTGAAGTGTTTTTACAGGCCAAGATGAGTAAAAACAAGATGTTTCCCATAAATTTCTTCTGTAAAGAAATTCATGGAATGATGTGCAGCAGATTTGATGACTCTGAAGTGTGGCATCAGTGTTATGGCCATCTTAATGTCAAGGGTTTACAACTACTTGCAAGCAAAGGAATGGTAAAAGGTTTACCTACAATCAAGGGATTGGACCATGTGTGCAACGGTTGTGCTCTAGGAAAGAAAACAAGAAGGTCTTTCCCTGTAGGACAATCAAAGAGAGCAGAGGAGAAGCTTGCACTACTACATGCAGACATTTGTGGTCCCATGAGGACAGAATCACACACTGGTAGTAAGTATTTTTTGCTCTTTATTGATGACTTCTCAAGAATGTGTTGGGTATATTTTCTCATCTACAAGTCTGAAGCACTCGAGTGTTTTAAGAAATTTAAGGCACTCGTAGAGAAGCAAAATGGTAAGAAACTGAAGGTGTTGAGAACTGACAGAGAAGGAGAATTCCGTTCCACAGAATTTAACAAGTTTTGTGAAGAGCAAGGAATTAAGAGGGATCTTACAGCTCCCTATACCCCAGAACAGAATGGCATAGCTAAGCGTAAAAACAGGACTGTGGTTAAAATGTCTCGTTCCATGATAAAAGCAAAAAATCTCTCAGATGAATTTTGGGCAGAAGCTGTTGCTACTGCAGTCTATCTGATCAACATTTCTCCTACAAAATCTCTCAGATGAATTTTGGGCAGAAGCTGTTGCTACTGCAGTCTATCTGATCAACATTTCTCCTACAAAAGCAGTGTGGAACATTTGGGCAGAAGCTGTTGCTACTGCAGTCTATCTGATCAACATTTCTCCTACAAAAGCAGTGTGGAACAAAACACCTTTTGAAACCTGGTATGAATTTAAACCATCTGTTAGTCATCTTCGAATTTTTGGCTCTTTGTGCTATGCTTTAGTGACTTCTCATCGACATAAACTTGAGTCAAAAACAAAGAAGTATATTTTTGTTGTTTACTGCTCCAATTCAAAGGCATACAGGTTGTTTGACCTAGAGAAGAAGCAAATTGTTGTTAGTCGAGATGTTCAGTTTGATGAAAAACTAAATTTTGAAGAAACTGGTGCAAAGCAAACTCCCATCGTGAACATACCATCTCATGAAGAACAGGAGAAAACAAGGGATGAAGAAGCTGAGTGTGATCCAGCAGCTAGCAGTAGTAGCTCACAGACTTCACAAAATGAGACTCAAAATGAGGAGGAGACTCCTCAGCTACGCAGGAGTCAGCGTGGCTTAATTCCTCGACGCAGGTTTCAGATTGAAGGAGAAGATGATACTGATGTTTGCACATTTGCAATGTTTGCTAAAGATCCAGGATGTGTAGAATCTGCAATAGAAAGTGAAGTGTGTAAGAAGGCGATGAAAGAAGAATTATCAGCAATTAAAAGGAATGAGACCTGGAAACTTACAGATTTACCAGAGGGAAAGAAGGCCATTAGTTTGAAGTGGATATTCAAGACCAAATATCATTCTAATGGGAGCATACAGAAGCACAAAGCCAGATTGGTGGCTCGTGGATATGCTCAAGAACCTGGAGTTGACTTTGAAGAAACATTCTCACCTGTAGCAAGAATGGAGATAGTCAAGTTGATTCTTGCACTTGCAGCTCAGTTACAATGGACTGTATTTTAGTTTGATGTTAAGTCTGCGTTTCTTAATGGAGATTTGAGAGAAGAAGTGTATGTGCAACAACCAGAAGGATTCGTTATTCTAGGTGAAGAGAACAAGTTATACAAACTACGAAAAGCATTATATGGCTTGAAGCAAGCCCCTCGAGCATGGTACAATAAGATTGATGAGTTCTTTCATCAGAATGGTTTTCAGAGAAGTCCAAATGAGCCAACATTATACATAAAGAAGCAAGTTATGAAAGATTTTGTTATGGTTAGCTTATATGTCGATGACATAATTTATACAGGATCATCTATGCAGCTTATTAATGAATTTAAGAATGCCATGATGAGTATGTTTGAGATGACAGATTTAGGAAGACTCAGCTACTTTCTTGGTTTGGAAATCAAACAAACCAAGAATGACATATTTCTTTCACAACAGAAATATACTACTGATCTTTTAACGCAGTTTGTCATGCTAAGTTGTAAACCTGCATCAACTCCAATGAATGTGAATGAGAAGTTGACAGCTGAGGATGACACAGGAATGGCAGAAGCAAGAAAGTACATAAGCCTAGTGGGAAGACTCATCTATCTCACGCATACTCGACCAGACTTAGCCTTTGTAGTTGGCTTAATCTCAAGGTTTATGAACAGTCCAACAAAACAGCATTTTGGAGCAGCAAAAAGGATTCTTCGATATGTAGCTGATAATAAAAATCTTGGAATATGGTATTTGAAGAAAGATGAGTTTGTGTTGACAGGTTATACCGATAGTGATTGGGCAGGCTCACAGGATGATAGAAAAAGCACAACTAGGAATTGTTTTGTGCTTGGTTCAGGATCAATTACGTGGGCTTCAAAGAAGCAATCAACTGTAGCATTATCTTCAACAGAGGCGGAATACATAGCAGCTACAACAGCTGCTTGTCAAGCAATATGGCTGAGAAGGCTACTTAATGATTTGAATCAAAAGCAACTACAAGCTACAGAAGTTTTCTGTGATAACATGTCTGTTGTGGCCATGACAAAGAATCCAGTTGTGCATGGAAGAACAAAGCACATAGAAATCAAGCATCACTTCATTAGAGAACTTATTGCAAAAGAAGAAATCAAGATGGAATTTTGCAAATCAGATGAACAGCTGGCCGATCTGTTTACTAAAGCTCTGCCACGAGCAAAGTTTGAAACACTTAGGGCTCATTTGTTCATTACCAACTTTGAATCAAGGGGGAGTGTTGGATAATGATTCAAAGTTTGTTAGTTTTCAAATCAAAAGGAGATTTAGTAGTTGTTGAAGTTGTTAGCAAGTCACAGCTAGAAGATTTGTTAGTTAATTTATTTTCTGATTTTTTGGCCAAGTAGTTTTGAATAATGTTTCTTATGTAAGCCTATATAAGGCAAAGTTCAGATCATAAAGATTAGGAATTTTTCCTCTCACATATCATCTGCTTTCTTGCTCTGTTAATTTCTTTCATGCTCAACGACTAACGAGGCATATCACGCAGTTTACGTTATGAAATTTGACCTTGCGAGATTAAATTGCGAAGACTTACATTGCTTGCACTAATCCACTTCAAGATATACCTCGTGGTTTGTTCCTTCATAAATTTCTTTTTTTCTATTTAAAGTAAGATCCAAGGCAAATCGGCCCTTTTTACAAAGCGAACAACATGTGCTCCCTTAAAAAAATGTTGTGGCCTTGTTAAATAATTTATTATCAATAGAGGCGTGGTTAGTGCATTATCGCACATGCAAGTGGTTAGAATTTTATTATATCTGTATTTAGCGAGATGAACTTTTTGCATGTCCCTTAAATTTGTTCTACTCTCGCTAAGTTTTTTTTAATGTAGTAGTTACAAATCCATTTCCAATAACTTTCTCCCTCTCTGTTTTTTTTTTAAATTTCTAAATTGGCAGTTGTGGTCATCAATGACGACATATTGGGCCCAAAATTTTGATTTGTAAAGTACAAAAGCAATGCGGCCTCTTTGACTACGACCTCTCCTTTTACCACCATTTTTTTGTGGAGTAGCTATCCTTGGTCCATTCTCGCGGGCCATTACTTCATTATCAAAAAATTCCCAAGTCTAACCCCTGATATATTTCTTATTAATTATTTCCTTATACTTATTATTAAAAAAAAAAAAAATCATATTTGATACCAGGGACAGAGCCATAATTCTTTTATAGTTGGACGTTTGTTAGCAGAAGGCGAAATTTTAATTTACCGCATAATATTTGAATGGCCTATTCTATTTCACTCAAAAACTATCATATTTCTACAATCAAAATAAAATAATAATATGAAAAATTCTTTAAAGACCTAAAATATGGGACCAATAAAGGGGACAAATGAGGTGTCCCCCTTCTATTGGATAATGAGTTGATCATCATTAATGATGGTCAACTCATTATCTAATAGGAGGTGGACACCTCACTTGTCCCCCTTAGGGGCTGTTTGGTTCTTTTTTTTTTGTGGTAAAAGTGGGGAAAACTGTCAAAAATGTCAGCTTTTTGGCAGCTTTCCCCCAAAATCACCCATTAAAAAGGTGATTTTGGGGGAAAGCTGTCAAAAAGCTGACATTTTTGGCAGCTTTCTCCTCTTTTACCATCCAAAAAAACCTCCAAACAGCCCCTTATTGGTCTCATATTTTGGGTCCCTGTAGCAAAACTCTAATAATATTATATTATATTAAAGAAATCATCCAAAATGGCAATTTCGTCATTACTGAAGAGTTCATGGTCATAAGCTGAAATGTAGCTATAATAAATACGCGTCTTCCCTGTAGCCCTCCGCTCGTTTTGATTCTCGTAAGCCCACCACTCTCTCTTCCCATCTCGATCTCGACGAAGAAAAAAGGGCGAAAATATTGCGTTTGGTTCTCTCTTCTCAAATTCGAACCCTAAAACCCTAGATTCCTACGTAAGTCCCCGATTCCGCATCTTTGATCTGGCCAACAAAGTTTGCTCATTTCTTTCGATTATTAGTGAAAATGAACTGAAATTATAATTTTTTAAGGTAAAATTTTGTTGTTAGCAGGAATCATGTCGAGAAAGATGCTGATCGATGGAGAGGTTGAAGGAGAGCAGCAGTTCGATTACGATCTGTTCGTCATTGGCGCTGGAAGCGGCGGAGTTCGAGCTTCGAGGACTTCTGCAGGTTTTGGAGCTAAGGTTTGCATCACTAATCCTCGATTTCTCAGTGTTTAATATTTAGATTACATCAATTAGAGCAACTTTTGTTGAAATCAAAGTCTACAAGCTGTTGTTTTATAGGTATAAGGCTCGTTGTTGAATCGAAAATAGCAACTAGAAATTTGACTTTAATTAGTACAAGCAATGAAGACTATAAGTCTAAATTTCTGTAGTAATTGAAATTGGCATTGACTCTTAAACGACTGATAAAAATTACGGGAAACTATTTATTATTTTGATCCTTTTCCAAGCAGGATTTCATAAAAATAAGATGAAAATCAAAGCCTTTTATGTTAGGAATCTTATAGACTTCCTCAGGAGCTTTCTAACCATATTCTTTTTTTATTTGGATAATGTTTATTTGCCCTCTTTTGGTCAAACTGGTCCGTGTGAATGGCATAAGGAGGAAATAAAGTGAGCCACATTATCCAATCTCACAAGGATTATATTTGCATTTCTTATCTTTTTAATCCAATTTTCTTTCTTTGATTATGGAATATGTTGTGGAAGCCTGTCGGCTAATGGACTTATTATTTACCTTAGGGCCTAAACGTGTGCCAACTCTTGCTCTTTTAATTTCGTTGTTATGTTGGCTTTTATACCTCTCTTCGTTATGCAATGATAGCTGAACTCTATTGCATTTATCAGTCACTATTTTTTTTCTTGTTGTTGCATATATTGGTCACTAGTGGGAGGTAAAATTTTAAATTGTGATGCAGGTTGCAATTTGTGAGCTTCCATTCCATCCAATCAGTTCAGAAGTTATTGGTGGAGTAGGAGGAACGTAAGAAACAATGCTAAGTCTCATATCCTCCTGGCTCCTCTGCAATGGATATTCTTTAGTTTTTAATTGCATGTACTCAGTTCTTTTCATATATACATAATTAATGATCCAAATTTGTAGATGTGTGATTCGAGGCTGTGTTCCTAAGAAGATACTAGTATATGGGGCAACGTTTGGAGGTGAATTTGAGGTACGGTTAGCTAACTGCTTAAATGACTCAGGGGAATGTTATTTGTATCATAAAGTATTATCACGATCAAACTTCTGAAAAAAATACACAAAGGGGAAAGTTCTGCATTACCTGTTGATTAAAAATAATAATAATAATAACTAAGAGGTCAGATGAATATCCACCAATGGAGTTTGTCATATATTTTGTGTCGCTGATTTCCTTATTTTTTGGCCTGATTTTAATTGGCATGTACATTAGCAAATAAATGCTGCCATATTCTGCAGGATGCAAGAAATTTTGGTTGGGAGCTTGGTGAAAAAATTGATTTCAACTGGAAAAAACTTCTTCATAACAAGGTAAATACTACCTCCATTTGACTGTGATATGCAAATTTTTTTTCTTAATAAGCTTTCAAATGTATGAACATCAATTTATATTGGTCTCTGGTTGTGGACCTTAGGCCTGATAATGGCAATTAGCGTGGATCAAATCCTTTATCCCTAAGGCAGTTACAACAATATCCTACCAGTCATTATCGTTAACATGACTCTGTGTTGTTGCTGTATGTCAACCATGTTATGTTTATTTATCTTAAATATCTAGTCTTTATGATTGGCTAAGACATTTTGGAATGGCAAAGTTTCGATGTAGGACTGCCTTCGTTTACCTAAATTTTCATAAATTTATAGGATACAAAAATAAAATTTTAATTGCGCCTCTTATGAGTACATCATTTTAGCAGTTTTTGGAACCTCAGTAAGTTACCTTTTTTAGATCATTGTCATTTTTGCAACACCTAGGCCTGCCATCTTTGATTAGGTTGCGAACAACTCTTCATCTGTCACACTATCTCTGTGTATGTGAAACGGAATCTGATTTCTGGGAGCTTTGCTTCATAATCATCTTTGTCTAAGCAACCTTAGTTTCAGGTCCACCTATTTCTATTTTCTGATAGGTTGTTCGAATACGTGCCTCAAACTTTATATTTTCTGAGACTTATTCATGGTAATAGTATGAGGCTCTTATAATTATAACAATTGAAGTCAGTATAGTTGTGGAGTATCGAGAAGTGTTGGTCAATATTCCTGAATTTTGGGGTCTTGACGAGTGTTGCTGCATCCACTGAACTAGAAGCCAGGTGTATCTGGGTGACCTGGGATACAAAAATCTCTGGGTGGTGGCTTAAGCCATTAAACACGAGTTCAGTTGCCTGATACGTCGTTTCCTACTCTTAAGTTGTTAACATGTCATAGAGAGTGATATGCTCATCCATTTAATGAGTTGGCTATTGATTATTGAAGACATTGAAGATGAAGTATATATGATGTAATTACTGCATGTCAACTGAAGTATATATGATGTAATTACTGCATGTCAACTGTAAAATGGTGCCTAGTTTCATGCTTAAGAAAATAAAAAGTTCTTTTGGTCTCTACCCTTTCTGATAGGTAACTAGAGGTTTTAAATTTCCCTAGCGATACCATTACCCTTTTGACTTTTGCTATCACTAGGAAATTTTATTTTATTAGTGTGCCATTAGTAAATCATGTTATTGTTTCTATCAGTTTTGGATTTTTCTAGTTGGAGATTAGGGTGTTCTATCCTTACCAGGCACTGTCTCGTTTTATTTTACTTGCTCGAGATTTGTTTTAGATCCTTCTGAATTGAGATTTCCCTAACTTTGTGTTAGTTATGTGCAGCATAATGAAATAACTAGGTTAAATGGAATATACAAGAGAATGTTGGCCAATTCTGGTGTAACTCTGCTTGAAGGAGAAGGCAGGGTTGTCGATGCTCATAGAGTGGAGGTGATACAAGCAGATGGTTCAAAGCAACAATATTCAGCAAAACATATTCTGATTGCAACTGGCAGTCGAGCTCAGCGTCCACCCATCGCAGGGAAGGTTTGTGTTATTTTGCTTGACTAAAATTGTTTCTATATAATCTTTTCTATACTAAAAATGCTTTCCTCTGATATGAAATATTAGGAGTTGGGCATTACCTCAGATGAAGCGTTGAGCTTGGAAGAGTTTCCCAAACGCGCTGTTGTATATGGTGGAGGGTATGCAATGATTTGTTTATTTTCCTTCTCACTACTTGCAGATCAATTACTACTTATTGGTTTGTTGCTTGCTTTGATATATCATGGTTGCATTGTTTTTAATACAGGTATATTGCTGTTGAGTTTGCTTCGATATGGCGAGGGATGGGTGCTAAAGTTGACTTATTTTACAGAAAGGAACTCCCACTGAGGTTTGTGCTGTAGTTTTTATTATCTTCTGCCATTCATACGCAAACAGATAAAGAACAGCCAGCCTTTTATTGAAGTTCATTCAGTGTTTATGCCACTAAAGTCTGATCTATTTGCCCTTGTACTGGCTTCTCAAATGCTGCAATTTCCTTCAATTTACTTGAAAACCAAAATTGATTTATTAATTGGATGATTGCATGTTATTCCAGAGGAAGTAGTAGGAAGAACATCTAGTTACACTTTAACTCGTTGCTCTTGATTCTCTTTCTGTTAACCAAACCTTTTGAAAGCATGAATAATATCTCAATTCTTTGATTCTTGTTTTGGTACTTTTGATCTCCTCAATTTGAGGGTTTATTGAACATTGATAGTTTATATGACTTCTGATCAACTTCATTTTTATAAGCTTAAAGATATTTTTTAGACAATAATATGAGAATGTTCTCTTAAGCTTTAGTTGTAGTCATGCCTTGAGCTGAATGCTTCCCTTGAAAGATGTATGATCTTTCCCCTTCTATACTACTTAGTCTAGGGGAACTTTGTAGGGTTTCTCCTTGGTTACACATGCTAGATTTTACCCAGTAAGCAGGTGAGGTATTTGCTGCTGATGTTAAACCATTTTATCCATTTTCTGTTGATGTTCCTTATGTTTTGATTTTAGAAACTCAATTTAGTTTCATATGAAGCATCCTTTGGTAATGGGAGGTTTATATTATAGGGGTTTTGATGATGAGATGAGAGAAGTTGTCGCATCAAACCTTAAAGGAAGGGGTATTAACTTGCATCCAGGGACAAATATAGCCGAGGTACATTAGTCTAAATAAGACTTCACTCATGTAACACATTCTCTGTTACTTAATCTTGGTTTCTCACAAATTGCATAAGTCATTTTCACCAGTTGCATAAAACTGAAGATGGCATTAGAGTTGTTCCTGACCATGGGGATGAACTTACAGCAGATGTTGTTCTATTTGCCACAGGTAATAGCATGCTCTTATGTTTTCTATTTTTCCAATTAATATATTAGTCTTTTCACATTAGATAAATTAGCTATTTTTATGGTTGAATTAATACCTCAAGGATTCTCAACAAGTTTCACCAAGGGAGTGACTTTTTATTAGAAGAGAAAATCGTGTTAGTGATGTCATGTTTCATAATTTCTTTTCTATCATGGAATTGCGATCCTTATTAACTCATGGATACTTGAATATCAATTAAAAAATTTCCGTCAAAACTTTACAAGAAAGCTTGTTAATAAGATATCCCATATTACAATGAATGCCTATACTGTCCATTTTTTTATTACACACCGAAATATCGAATCATTAAGCTATACATACTTTGCCCGTCTGCCTATGACGACTTACAATATATGTCAATGTTGATATTCTCAAGTGGTTACTTTCCATTATTTTTCTCTGCTTTAGATATTTTTCAAAAAATGCTGCAAATACAAAGTGTGTGATGCTCTGTCATATATTATTCTCTAATGGGTCACAGGTAGGGCTCCAAACTCAAAGAGGTTGAACTTAGAATCTGTTGGTGTTGAGCTTGATAAAACTGGAGCAATTAAGGTAAGATTGCTTTTGCTAATAACACAAGTCACATGCAGCATATTTCTAGAAATTTGCTACTGATTTACCCCTGTTAAAGAAGTGGGTGTTAGTAAAATATCTATTGTTATTGTGGTTTCATGTATTACTGACTAATAGCAATTATATATATATTACTGACTAATAGCAATTTTATATATCTTTAGGTAGATGAATACTCCCGTACTACTGTCCCCAGCATTTGGGCAGTTGGAGATGTTACAAACCGAATGAATCTCACTCCTGTGGCATTAATGGAAGGAACTTGCTTTTCGGTACTTTAAAATTAACATGCGAATGTATTTATTTCCTTTGATATATTGTAGTTGCAGATTTTCTATTCCTCTTTTCTGAATTATATGTTCTGCGCTTGTAGAAAACAGTATTCGGTGGGCAGCCTACTAAACCAGACTATAAACATATACCCTGTGCTGTTTTCAGGTAATTTAGCTATTTTTGACTCAGTTCCCATCAGTTTTCTGTCCATTATCTTTTTATTATCCCCATTTATGTGGCGATGATCCTACACTATCTTGTTCTTTGCTTTATCTTAAACATTATTTCATAATGTTGCTAAGTAGTCTGTGTTGTTCAGCTAAACACAACCTATAATGCCACTGGTGGATATATAGTGGGGATAGCTGCCCCACTGATCCCTAACAAATATGTTGAGCATTAAGCAATTTGACCCTACATTAATTGATCCATTGATCCTAAGCCTAGTATGTTTCAATATAAACGTCCAAATAATCCTAAAGAAACACAACAGGGACGGACCCAACTTTGAGTATAAACCCTTACAACAATGATATTACTTTCACATAATATATCTGGTAATTGTACTTTTCTGGATATTGGATAAGACTGCTCCATAATCTGTATCAGGTTCTAAAGCCCCAGATAATTGAAGTTTTTAGAGTACACAATCTAGCAGTTATCTTTTAGCATTATAACTACCATTTCTTCAAGTAGCCCTAAGAGGAATCTCATCTATCACAGACAAAATCATGATCGATGAGAATGGGAAGCATACTGCGTACCCTTTGATGTATCTTCATAAGTGATGCATCTTATGCTGAAGTTAGCTTTGATCTTATTAGTTGCTACTACGACCGTGAAAAGAACTTTCTGTGCACTGAATATAGTGAAAAATGGAATGCATAACTGCATGGGTGATGATTAGTTAAATAATTGTTTGGTCACGTATATTGAAATAGATATCTTTTATAGCATAGTTAATGAGAAATTCATACAATGTTATCATAATGTGAAACCACTGAGGAAACAATCGTAATTTTTTTAGTAAGGTACCTTTATTGACTATATTTTGTTTGTGTATATGTATGCTTATTTGGTTTTGGAGTCATTTATATTTAGGCGAATGTGTCATATACTAACTATATTTATAGACTTGTAGTCTTGCCGACCAAACTTTCTGGATCCGCCCCTGTGCTCTATCCTGTTGTGAAGAAAAGTAATGAACATTTTTTTAGTGAAAAAGTCATTTGTTAGGAAGTGATGTAAAAGATTCACTTCGCAATACAAATGTGTCCTGCCTTTTCAACTTTCTATTCATTACTCAATACATGTCACTTCTTATGCTGAAACTTCTCTAAATTTATCATAGTTTTTTATAAGTCAAAATGTTCATAATCTTTTCCTTCTACAGTTTGCCCTCCATAGTTTTTTATGGACAAATAAATGCAAATATATACCTCAAACCTTTAACGGAAACAACGAAGTGGATTAAAAACTGCTGGTAATGCATCTGAGAAATGGCAAGCAAGTTTTCTGAATTAAGAAGATATGATATAATTGCTGATACATTTGAGAGATCTCCAATGTATAAAGTGTCAGTATTTGACGTTGACTATGGCTTCATGTTAGAAGTGCTTGTTTCACATAGATGCAATCACCATATATAGACAAATCTACAGATTTACTTTTTGCTTTGATGGTTAATACTTTAAAATGCTCACTGTTATTATTATTATTATTTATTGTTATCATCATGTCATTATTGTTTTCTGGTTGTAGCATTCCCCCTCTCTCTGTTGTTGGCCTCAGTGAACAGCAAGCTATAGAGGAGTGTAAGAGTGACATTCTGGTCTACACCTCATCATTTAATCCAATGAAAAACACAGTATCTGGGTATGTCCCTACATGGAACTTCTACTGCTTGTTACATAAATCCTCATCTTTAAGGAAGATTGATTTTTAGCCTTGTTACATTGAATATTACATTAGCAAGCATTTGCATGACAGTCTCGAGCCTTAGCATTCCTCTTCGTTTTTTTCCCTTTCATGTTTCCAGGAGACAAGAAAAAACGGTTATGAAGCTTCTTGTTGATTCTGAAACTGATAAAGTAATTGGCGCCTCCATGTGTGGTCCAGATGCAGCTGAAATTATGCAGGTATCTTATCAGGGCAACTCATATATATAATTCACCAGAAATTGATGCTTAAAATATTTTTAATAGTCATTAAATAAAGCTAAAGATTTCTTGAGGTAAATAAGCTATAGTTTATTCTCTCTTATACTACACAAAACAGGGTTGAGGGACATACACCTTCTGTGCTTGTGATGGCGTAACCAATTATAACCCCTTCAACTTTTTTTTAGTGCTTGCACCCCCTTGAACCTTGATGAGTTATTTTTTGTCTACACTTCGAGGAAAATGTATTTTATGGTATGTGATTCCAGGGTTCATCTCAAACTATGGAAACAATGTTATCTACACTTCGAGGGTGTAACTGGCAATAAAAATAGTTTTTCTTTTTTTTTTTTTTGGGGGGGGGGGGGGGGGGGGTTTTTGCAAGTTAATGATTT